CACTCCATGGATCATAAAGCCTAAAATGCTGGGCATATGAATTTAGTTTTTTACTTTAAAAGTACAAAAGTTTTTAACTTAGGACTGTTTGAATCTGAAAAATCCTTAAGTCTTGTGTTCTGCATTTCTATGAAAACAATGGATAACAGTTGTTTTCAGGCTGTCCAGGAAACTGAAGTCAAGCAATATTATTGCAAGAAACTGAAAAGCTTCCAAGAATAACATAGGATAAACTTAACTCTTACAGTTTACAAATGAACATTTGATTTGCTCACCATAATATAGTACTTACAAATTCCAAGAGGACTGCACAAGAAGGTGTTGGTTTTTTCTCTGTAATCTTTATGTTTTCCAGTTTGTTTTTTTATTTTGTATCCTCTGAAATAATATCCAAGTTCTTTGAAGATACTTAACCTATGACTATTTGACATAGAGTTACTTCAAGTCAGCTACCCATACTTCTGTTTTAAAGTTTTCATATGGCTATCTCCAGAATTAGCCAAGTTCCTTGGATTTAAGATCAAGAAGTCTTCTGTGTTATTCCATGTACTTGCCACGGTTGTACTTATCCACTCCAGATGAAATATCCAATTTATGAGCCAAAAAGCAAAAACAAAAAGAAAATTTCACATCTGAAGAGCATTCCTAAATATCATGACATACAGAGACACACATAGCTATCTCAATACTACCATGCTGCTGGGAAACAGCAACATCTTAAATTTGCATGTAAATAAAAGATAAAAGGGAAAAAATTCTGTATTCTTTCAATGTATTCATTTAGAAAAGCTGTCCCATTGTGACATGGAAAGGACTGAGGTCAAAAATTCCTAAAACTTCTAATAAAGGTAAAAATAAACTGCCATGAAACTTCAGCAATATTTAAACAGTCATTTGAAACTGGTGAAACTATTCAGTATACAACTCAAACATATCTTACAGTTTTGGCTGAAGAACACCAACAACAGGGAAGGGGGGGCAAAAAAAAAAATACCACCAGCTGAAATACTTTTAACCAGTTATATAATCCGCTTGAATCAAAAATACTGAAGAAACGCCTGGGTCTCCCTTTAAGTAGTTTGTTCAACTGTTCACTACTATCAATTCACTTCAAAGACGACTCTTGCCAATTTTAATAGACTTCTGGGGCAAAATTATCCAAAAACATTGTAACTCCAATATGGCCACTTGAAATTATCCGGGCCTTTTACACAAAACCTAGAAGATGATCTTCATATCTGAGAAATTCAATCACCTGTAAAAGTTATATAAAAAAACGTAAATTACACACTGAGTTTTAATGTTGAACTAAAAATCAATCAGCACCTCAAAGAGTCAACCTCTAAAGAGAAATTCACATCGGTATAATCCTACAAGTCTGGGAAAGGGTTTTGCCCAACCACCCAAAAAGTATACAAAATGAAAGGACTTCGAGCAGAGGCAGTGAAAAACAGTGGGTGATGATGGTATTATGGAGGGCAAGTGTTGATTTGAACTGCGAAAGGGGTTCAATACAACACTGAGGGATTATATAAGCGCACCTTCTTATACTTCTCAAATATTAAAATTATGAAATTGGCCCACAAGCTTACAAAAGACCTGCTCTAAACAATGGACCAAAGGAAAAAGAATACAGGTGTGCAGCCACCGGAACACTAGTAAATGTAACTTACAGAACGAAAAGTATAAAAAGATGCTCCCTCCAAATTAAAATGTCTAAAAGGGGGAGGCAATATTTCTCCCACTAAGGCCAGAAAGGTGGACAGAAGTGGGGCAAGAAGGTTTCTTAAATTCTCCTCAAGAGGAGACTTTCCCGCTTCTGAGGGCAGCGGGCAGATATAAGGTGTAGATTCCCATTTCCGTGAATTAAGAGAACAGGTTTCTCCCAAAACTGAGGGGGTGGAAAGTACCGGGCCCTCATCGTAAACCACAGAAAGGCCCTCTCCGCAAAAGAGAACAGGACCCCTGAGCCCCCACAAGACTCAGAGAGACGGGGGCGCACTCGCCCCAGTCCACGGCAAGTGCCACGGACCGGGAGAGGCGGGGAGAGCAGGGGCGCCGCTGAGGAAACAACCGAAGGCCACAACTCGGCCTCAACTCCCTCAGCCCTCGGAGAGGTGATGCAAAAGGAGGCGGGCGTGTGCAAGAGGCCCGAGAAAGAGCGAGCGAAGAGGGCGTCGGACTCGTTCCCAGCCTCCGCCAAACACCAAACACCCCCCCCCAGACGCCAAGGCTGAGCCACCCACCCCCTTCCACAACCGCCACCTCCGCTCCCCGCGGCCGAGGGGATACCAGGGGGCCTCTCCGCGCCTCACTCCCCTCGCCCTCCTCGCTTCCCACAGCACCCCCGTCCGCGGGCAGCCTCACACCTCGCGCCGCCAACGCCGCTCCCGACCCCTCAAACCCCAACGCCGACACGGGCAGCCCCCTTCTCCCCCGGACTCCGGCATGGAGCACCGGGAACGGTGTTACCTTCTGCCCCACCAGAGGTGCCCCTGGCCTGGGGGTGCCGCTGCGCTCGATCCCGGGAGGAGGTTTTCGGTACTTTGAATAATCCCCTTTTGCCGCTTTTCCCTCCCCCACAACCAGTCTCGGTCCCAAAATGGCGCCGACCCGATCCGCAATGTTCTGGGCCAAGTCTCGCGAGATCGTGGAAGGTGGCGAGGCGGGGAAAGAACTAGAGAGGTTGAGGAGAAGTTGGGGGGGGGAGGCGGGGCGAGGAAAAGAAGGAGGGAGAAAGGGTGTGGAAGAAGCGGTGCGAACGAACCTACTGGGCGGGGCAGCAGGAAGAGCGCCTCCACCGGAGAACCTTCTGGCCCAAGTAACCGCTCACGCCCCGGTCAGAGAAGCTCCGCCCTCTACGTAGAGCGGCGGGAGGAGGGGAAGAGGGCGTGGTTACGACTGGGGGCGGGGCTTCGAGGAGGCCCGGGAGCAGGGGCGCGCGAGGGGCCGTGGCTCCGCGCGGTGACGTCAGGAGCAGCTGGAGTCGGGGATTACCCCCTGCTGCTGACGTGTAGTTGGTGAACAATCGGGAACGTTCGGTGAAAGGGGGAATTCCCCGCCGCTCCCAAAGGAGCCCCTCCTCCGCCCCTCCCCCCGCCCGGGGCCGCCCTGGAGCCGAGGATGGTAGGGCCGCCGGGAGCGATAGGCGGCCGGTCGGGCTCGGGTGGCGCGCGCTGCGACGTCTTTCCCGGCTCCAAGCTCGGAGGAGCCGCGGCGCGCGCCTCTCGCCTCTCGCCGAGTACCGCGCTCGGGCCCGGGTGAATCGGAGCTGACGCGTCGTCCGCACACAGCCTTGCGCCGGCGGAGCGGCGGCCGTGCTGGCGCGAGAGTGACTGGGCACCCCGAAGCCGTGGATCCGCGAGCGCACGCAAATGCGGAGCGAGTCGGACTTCAGTGGTGTACATGGGAGGCCGGTGGCTGAGGAAACGAGACTCGCTGGGAAACAGACCCAGGTTCTCAAAAGGCAAAAAAATGACTACTAGGTATAATCCTGCTAATGATCATTTTTCTCTCTACTAAAGCTCCGATAGATGAATTATTTCAGCAGAGGTCTCAGAGCCCCCCATAGCCCATACGATTTTTTTTTTTAATGAGTGTCGTGGTATGCCCGGTTGCTTCTCTAATTGTCATACCTTTTCTTTTTATAACGGAAGGCTCACTTTCAAACCGGGGAAGTCCGAATTCCAGGGGAAACAACCAACCGTTTGTTTAGAGGGAACGTGGGGAGAGAGTGTCTTAACGAGGGGAAATCTGGAAAATAAAAGGACAGGTATTTGGCTTTTTGCCCTCTCCCAAGCCGCAAGAACTTCATGCACAGAAACTTTATAGTTCGTTTATGTGCATTATGGGGTTTGTAGTTTAGAGAGCTTTTTCTAAAAGACCCCTGAAAGACTGCTGGAATATAAACTCACCAAAATTTATACTTCCCAACCTTGTATTTAGGTCTTTATTGAGAGATGGCCATTTTGGCGATTAATAATGCCCTAAGGAAAGGGAATGAACGCTTGCTGAACGCCCTATGTTAGGCATTTTAATCCCCGTATGGACCTCTGAGATGGGTAGTGGTTTCTTTTTTTTTTTTTGCAGATGAGAAAACTGGTACAGATTAATGTGTTTACTGTTACACAGTATGGAAACCCGGTGCCACGATTTGTACCAGATTCAACTTTCAACTCAGGTCTATCACACCGCATTGCTGTGGTAGAAGTGGTTTATGTATTGAGAGCAGACCTGCTTATGCTTTTGTTTCTAAGCATAATGTAAACCAGAAAAAAAGGAAGCAGAAAGAAAAAAAAGAATAAAAGAAAAACTCAATAATTTGAACACACACAAATTGTGCTTTTCATATAATTTTTAAAAACTATAAAGTTGAAAAACAAGCAGTAGGCTCGGCACCTGTGGCTCAAGCGGCTAAGGCGCCAGACACATACACCTAAGGTGGCAGGTTCAAATCCAGTCCGGGCCCGCCGAAGAACAATAATGGCTGCAACCAAAAAATAGCCAGGCGTTGTGGCGGGCGCCTGGGGTCCCAGCTACTTGGGAGGCTGAGGCAGGAGACTCGCTTGAGCCCAGGAGTTGGAGGTTGCTGTGAGCAGTGAAGCCACGGCACTCTACCCAGGGGCTCAGCACAAGGCTCTGTCTCAAAAAAAGAAAAACAAGCAGTGAAATGGAAAAACAATTGTACACGTACAAGTGGATTAATATTTTTAATTTAATATTGAATATTTGATTTTCATAACAAATACATATCAAGAGTGCTTAGCTTACAGATGACTAAGGAAAAGACAACCACAGTGGCTCAAAAAACGTAAAGGGCATGAACAAACTAGACACATATTTATAAATATATACTGGGAGAGGAGGATCAGTAATTATATGAAAATAGATTCCTCCTCACCAAAATTCAGAAAAAAATGAAAACTATAATCAAAAGTAGTATGTCACGTTTTATCTAGCAATTTGGCAAGGATTTAAAAAGACTTTAAAACGTAGATGAGATGCTCCCTTGGGCAGCACTAATTGTAAAATTAGAATGATACAAAGAAGATTAGTTTTGCCCCTGGATAAGGATGACAGTTAATGTAAAAATTTTACAAAAAATATAAAAAACAAAACTTACATGAGGATATAAGAAATTGGCATTTATTTGCATTAACCGTATCAAGAATGAAAATCTGTATAGACTTTCTGAAAGATAATTTGACTTTTATAAAAATTTTAAAGTCATTAAAATAAGGTGCTGGGCGGCACCTGTGGCTCAGTGGGTAGGGCGCCGGCCCCATATACCAAGGATGGTGGGTTCAAACCCAGCCCTGGCCAAACTAACAAAAAGCCAGGCGTTGTGGCAGCTACTGGGGAGGCTGAGGCAAGAGAATTGCCTAGGCCCAGGTATTGGAGGTTGCTATGAGATGTGATGCTACAGCACTCTAGCGAGGGTGATAAAGTGAAAATCTGTCTCGAAAAAAAAAATCAAAATATAACAAAAATAAAAAGTAACTTAAAGTAACACACCTGTAATCCTAGTGCCCTGGGAGGCTGAGGCTGGTGGAGTTCAGGCGTTCCAGATCAGCCGGAGCAAGAGCCAGACCCCGACTCAAAAAATAGCCAGGCACTAGGGTAGCTGCTAGTCAGGAGGCTGAGGCAAGGGAATTGCTTAAACCCAAGAGTTTGAGGTTGCTGTGAGCTATGATGCTACGGCACTCTACTGACACTCTACTGGAGGGCAACAAAGTGAGACTGTCTCAAAAAAAAAAGAAAGCCAGGTGAGGTGGCTCATGCCTGCATTCCTAGCCCTCTGGGAGGCCAAGTTAGGTTGTCTGCCTAAACTCACAAGTTCCAGACCATCCTGAGCAAGAGTGAGACACCCATCTCTAAAAATAGCAGGGTGTTGTGGCGAGAGTCTATAGTCCCAGCTACTCGGGAGGCTGAGGCGAGAGAATCACTTAAGCTTAAGAGTTTGAGGTTGCTGTGAGCTATGACACTAGTGCACTCCACTGAGGGTGACAAAACGAGACTCCGTGCCCATAGCACAGTGGTTATGGTGCTGGCCACATGCCCCGAGGCTGGCAGGTTCAAACTTGGCCCAGGCCAGCTAAAGAACAATGACAACTGCAACAAAAAAAATAGCCAGGTGATATGGTAGGCGCTTGTAGACCCAGCTACTTTAGAGACTGAGGCAAGAGAATCACAAGCCCAAGAGTTTGAAGTTGCTGTGAGCTATGACACCACGGCATTCTACCCAGGGTGACAATGAGACTGTCTAAAAAGAAATTTTAAAAGTACATCTATACAATACAATTATTTGAAAAAACAGGGTAAACCTACATACAAACGCATGTTCAATGCTTTATGAGATAAAAGTGTGTGGCAGAGCAATGTGTATACCAAGATCATCACTGTGGTTTTTAAAAAGTATGTTTATATCGGAACGGATAATTCCTAAAAGAATAACTTTTTAATATTCATCGAATCAGTAGGAGTTTTTGCTTTATACCCTGTTATGTTATTTGAATGTGCTATTTTATAATAATTTAATATTTAGAACTTAATTGCCCAAAGATCTGCAACAACTGAGAAGCAGAGTAAAATAGTTGTATCGGAAACATTCTTGAATTCTTCACAATTAAACCTGGTGTCTCTCATTTGTTCCCAATGTAAAGTCTGCTTACTTCTATAAATAATCTACTAATTTCTACCTCTATCTTGGTCCTCCAAAGATGTCCAAGGCCTTCCTCATCATCCTCATATAATTATTATACTAGATTATAATTGCTTAATTAATGTATTTTTTTTTTTTGAGACAGAGTCTCACTTTGTCGACCCCTGTAGAGTGCTTATCATAGCTCATAGCAACCTCAAACTCATGGCTTATCAGATTCTCTTGCTTCAGCCTCCCTAGTAGCTGGGACTACAGGTGCCACCTACAACGCCCTGCTGTTTTTAGAGATGAGGTCGTCTTCTGGCTCAGGCTGATCTCTAACTTGTGAGCTCAGGCAATCCACTCGCCTCGGTCTCCAGAGTGCTAGGATTACAGGCATAAGCCATTGTGACCAGCCTTTTTTTTTTTTTTTTTGAGACCGTCTCAAGCTGTCACCCTGGGTAGAATGCTGTGGCATCATAGCTCACAGCAACTTCTAACTTGGTCTCAAGCGATCCTCTTGCCTCAGCTTTTCTATTTTTAG